TTTACGCGGCGACGTCGAAGGCAACGCGTCCGACGGTTGCCAGGCCGCTGACCACTCCACCTCAGAGCAGCCCACCTCTCTCGTTCGCAGTCGACCAAGCTCCCGCCCCTCGCCGCACGACTCGCGTCCCGAAGCCCATGGTCACCCAGGCCGAGTGGGATGATGCCCTCAAGCGCCATTGAATATGAAGCCCTCCCCGCTCCGCGGGAGGCGATTGCACATCCTCTGCGCTCTGCCACGCGGATAAAGCGGCAACCGCAGCGCGCCCACTATGCGTAAGAGACACAGGATGAATCACAGGGCGAGGACGGCGCCCGAGCGGAGCTTGGGCGACGGCGACGCGGAGAAGCGGCGCGTCGACGGCGCGAGGGACTGGGACCGGGGCCGCGACGTCGGCGGCTTGGGCCCCGTCGTCGCGCCGAGGGCGACGACGCTCTGGGAGCGCTGGCGCTGGAGCGTCGGGTGCGCGCCGGGCGCGACGGTGACGCGGGGCCGCGGCGGCGCGGCCGCGGCCGCGTCGCCCGCGCGCGCGGAGTACTTGTCCGCGACGTGGCGCGCGCCGTGGGGCCGGACGCTGTCGAGGCGCTTGCGGCGCTGGTGCATCAAGCCCGTGGCGTTGACCGTGGACCGCCAGTCGACGGAGAAGTCCGCGTGCGCCTCCGCGTCGGCCGCGAGCGCGGCGCCGCCGTCGCCCGCGTCGACGGCCGCGAGGAGCTTGTGGAAGCTCTTCTCGCTGAGGTGGGCCTTCATGAGCTCGTGGATGTGGATGCTCTGGCCGCGGACGCGGACGCGCTCGCGCGCGCGCCGGTCCCACCACGCGCCGCCGAGGACGCGGTCCCGGAGGTTCTGCTGCATGAGGAACGCGGGCGACAGCATGGCCGGGTGCGTGCGGACGAACTCCGTGAACGTGTCCACGGTGATGTTGTCCGCGTACTCGCGGTCGTTCATCGCGTTGATGTGCTTCAGGAGGTTCACGGCCGTCGCGTTCGCCGCGTAGCGCTTGCCGTAGAGCTCCTTGAGCATGCCGTTGAGCTCGGCCATGTCGATCTCGCCCGACGAGTCGCGGTCGTAGAGGTCGAAGGCGAACATGACGAGCTGCGTGCGCCCGAGCGTGCAGTACCTGCGGCGGCGCGCGTGGACGCGCCGGTCCGTGTCCGCTCATCGCGGGACGAGCGACGTCCGCGCGCTCGACGCGCGCGCGCGTTCCGCGGATCGCGACGCGCGTCGAACCGCGCGCGTCGGGCGCCGGCGCCGCGCTGCCAGAGCGTGACGACGAACTCGCGGAAGTCGATCTCGTTGGAGCCGTCCTCGTCGAAGATGGAGAAGACGCGCTTCGCGAACTTGGTCCGGTGGAGGTCGAGGTGGTCGAGCATCTCCCAGAGCTCGAGGCTCCCGCTGCCGTCCTTATCGATCTTCAGGAACTGCGCGTGCAGCCGCGCGACGTCGGCCTCGTCGAGCCCCAGGCTCTCGAAGGTGTCGCGGAACTTGTTGACGCGGTTGTCGTGGTAGACGCGCGGGCCGAAGGTCCGCTTCAAAGTCAAGCCGACGTTCCGGGGCAGCAGGTCCATCAGCGCGTCGAGCAGCGGCATGGCCGCCGCATGCGCCGCGCGCCGTCGGTCGCGGTTGCGAGACGGAGCGCGGCGCGGCGCTCGACGCTGGCGTTGCTCAGTGGGGCTCCACGGCGGCGCGCACCGACGATGGTATGCTCTTCATCGTGTCATGCCTGTTGAGCGGATAAAAAAAGCTCGATTATGAACCCGCGTTGAACCCGGTTGAACATTTATCCGCGGTCTCGCGCGCGCGCGCCTCGACCGGCGCTCTCCGCGCGCGCGCCGACGCCGAACCGCGCGATGTCGTACCTGCTCCCGCACCTGCGCACGGGCTGGGCCGTCGACCAGGCGATCCTCAACGAGGAGGACCGCGTCGTGGTCATCCGGTTCGGCCACGACTACGACCCGGTCTGCATGCAGATGGACGAGGCCCTGTCGAAGATCGTCGAGAAGGTGAAGAACTTCGCCGTCATCTACCTCGTCGACATCACGGAGGTGCCCGACTTCAACACCATGCGCGCGCGCCGCGCCCGCCGCCGCGCGCGCCGCGCCGCCGCGCGCGAGGCCGCCGCCGCGCGCGCAGGTACGAGCTCTACGACCCGTGCACGGTCATGAACTTCTTCCGGAACAAGCACATCATGATCGACCTCGGCACGGGCAACAACAACAAAATCAACTGGGCGCTCACGAACTCGCAGGAGCTCATCGACCTCATCGAGACCGTGTACCGCGGCGCGCGCAAGGGCCGGGGCCTCGTCGTCTCGCCCAAGGACTACTCGACGAAGCGCGGCCCGGCGCCCCGATCGCGCGCGCCGCCCGCGCGGCGAATCGCGCGCGCCGCAGGTACCGGTATTAGGCCGCGCGCGCGTCGCCTAAGGAGAAGCCGCCCCACCGGAGAGCCGCGACGCCGCGACAAACGAGTGCCTTACATGCCCGCCTGCATCTGGACGTCGGCCGTCGCCGTCGTGCCGTGCTGGCAGAGGAGCTCGTAGGTCGCGTTGACGGCCTCGCGCTTGTCGTGCGAGTGGTCGCCCTGCATGCCGACGTACTGGAGCGCCGTCTCGTCGGCGCCGCCGTGGTTCGCGTCGAAGAAGAGGGCGACGTTCGTGACGCTGGCGAAGGCGTGGGGCGGGTGCAGATTCACGTAGGCCTCGCCGGGCGCGTTCGGCGGCAGCGCGGACTCGAAGGCCGGGCGGATGTCCTCGAGGGACTGGAAGTCCAGGTTCTCCCGGTTCACGTAGACCTTGACGTGGCTCGGGTGGGACTCCGGGTCGCCGGAGCCGATGACCATGAGGCGCCGGAGCGCGACGGGCGCCAAAAACGTGACCTTGACGAGGAGCTCCTCGTCGCCGTCGCTGGCGAAGCTGCCGTCGGTGTCGAGGCGCCGCACGAAGGGCCGCAGCACGCGCGCGGCGTCGGCGCCGTCCTGCGCGTTCAGCGCCTCCGCGCGGTCCACGTGCTGGTAGAGGTTCCAAGAGTCGTCGGGGTACTCGACGCTGTGCGAGTGGCCCGCGCCGCCGCCGGCGCCGCCGTGGCCGCCGCGGCCCATGGATGCGACGAAGCGGCGCGCGAGCGTCGAAGGTCGTGGGGTCGCTGCAGCGGCGGCGGCGGCGCAGCGGCGAGAAGGCCTCTGATGACACCTCTGCGATCGATCAGAGAGCTCTCGCCGCGGCGCCGCGTCGAGGCGCGCGACGCGTACGCGTCGCCCGACGGCCGCCATCGAGCGGTGCGGCCTCGCGCCGCCGGCGCCAGAGTGGCCCCGTTCGAGTGCTGTGGTTAGGCCCGGCGCGCCCCGGGCCCGCGGCCGCGCGCGCCGCGGCGCCGACGGCCGCGCGGCTCAGGGCCCCTCGACCAGTCTCAGGGCCTCGGTCATGAAGTCCTCGCCGTTCTTCTTCCAGTCGAGCGCGGCCTCGATGGCGGCGCGGAAGACCTTGACGACGTTCGTGCCGTCGGCGGCGGAAACAAAGTAGAAGGGGATGCCCTTCGACGACGCGAACTTGAAGTTCTTCCGCGTGACCTGGTAGTCGATGTCGATTTTGTTGGCGACGAGGATGCAGGGGATGTTCTCGCAGCTTTCCCGGAGCTCGTCGTACCTGCGGGCGGCCGCGCCTTTCGCGCCGCCGAGGCCGCGCGTCGCGCGCGCGCGGCGGGCCGCGCCAGTCCGAGAGGTGCTGGTAGGTCGCCTTGCGCGTGACGTCGAAGCAGAGGATGCAGGCGTGCGCGCGGTGGTAGTACGCGGGGTGCATCTTGTTGAAGCGCTCCTGGCCCGCGGTGTCCCAGATGTCTGCGCGCGGCGGCCGGCCGGCGTCCGCGCGGCGCGCGGCGCGCGGGGCGGCGGCGGCGCGCGCGCGCGCGGCGCGGCGACGCACCGACGGAGACCTTGCGGTCGTCGATGTCGACGACTTTGCGGAAGAGCGTCAGCGCGTACGTCGAGAGCTGCGCGCGCGCGCGCGCGTCTCCGCGGACCGCGCGCGGCCGGGGGCGAGGCGGGGCGGCGGCGCGGCGGCCGCGCGCGCGCGCGCGCGCGCGCGGCGGTCCCACGCGCCTGCTGCGGGTTGTACTCGTCCATGAGGAAGCGCTCGACCATCTTCGTCTTGCCGACGGCGGAGTCGCCGAGCAGGATGAGTTTGATCTCTGCCTCGTCGTCGAAGGGCGCGCCGTCCTTCTCCTCGCCGTCCTTGCCCTCGTCCTTGCCCTCGCCGTCTCGACTCTTCGACTCCTCCTCCTTCGACATGGCGACGCGAGGCAGCCCGGCGTCCAGCAGCACGGGTAGTAGCAGGCTTTGAATGAGTGCAGGGGTTGATTGAACGCCAATGTCGGCTTGTTTGCCCTCTCGGCGGCGCGATGATCTCCTCTGCCGCAGCACCAGGCAGCGCGGCGCTCCTCGACGACACGCCGCCCGGCTCGGAGGCCATGGACGACACGCCGCCCGGCTCCGACTTCGGCGACACGGACGCCGAGGACGAGGCTTCGCCGGACGCCGAGGCCGGCGCCGGCGACGAGTCGTCGAGCGACGGCGACGACGAGCTCGAGGTCGTCGCCGAGTTCGAGGCGGCGGCGGCGGCGGCCGGCGCGGGCCGCGAGGCGCACGTCGCGCTGCTCGCGGCGCTGCGCGCGGGCGCGGCGCGCGGCGGCGCCGCGTGGGCGCGCGCGGTCGGCGCCGCGTGGCTTCGCTACCGCGGGCTCCACGCGCTCGGCGCCGGCGAGTGGCTCG